TTTGATTTGTTCCTGCTCCCATGTTCTATAATTTGCTTGCTTTTGCATACTTGCTCAGTTTATTTGATGCTACCACCACTACCTTTGTCACGATTTGCCATGACCCTGACATGCTACTGACTTACTTCCTTTTTATTTTTAGCTGTTTCTGCTAAATATTTATAATATTTTCTAAATGCCCCAGGTGACCACAGACCTCTACCAAGTGCTTGATAGCAAAGGATATGTGTATATATATATATATATATATATATATATATATATATAAGCTATAAAGTACATGTAAGCTATAAATTACATGAAATGCAAACATCAAACTCAAAATTATTACATTTATCAAAAGCAAAAAAATGAATGGTTCTTCATAGGGTATTGATTTTTAAATTGGAGAACTTTTGCTGTTCATTTACATTTCGATGCTACAACTTGCATGTATTTGGATCAAACCCTTGACTGCAGTCTGAGGAGGTAATTACGCAATTTGGTTTAAGTGTGGAAGCAGAGAAACATCCAAAATGTGCAGATCACTGGACCCTGAGGGCTAGAATGAAGCAGGCTTGCTATATGCTGTGAAAAGACCTTGTAACGAAGTCTACGGTAGAGGATCCTTCACACCAACTGTTGGTTGTAACAAACCTGGTAAAACATACCAAAACAGAAGCCACAAATATGAAATAAAGCTTAACTAATGTTGAATTTAATAGCAACATTTTACTATTAATACACCTTATATTTAGTGCATAGAATATTATTAATATTTTCATGTAGTAGAAAAAATACTTACTCTGCCACTTTGGGTCTTCAAACCAGTTTGGGTTTAATTCCTAGGTTCAATGTTCATAATTGATGCCTTTCAAAAGATGCACTAATGAAGTGCTAGTAGTGATGCTTAATGTCTCTGGCTGATTTACCAGCAGCCTGGCTACATTAATTAGCTGCGGTCAGACGTGATGTAATCCTGTTATTCAACAGGTAAACAAGTGAGCAACACATCTCCAATGCTTCTCTGACTTTGGAAAAGGAAAGTATAAACATCTTTTGACTCTTTTTCTGTGGTGTTGCATTATTTCATAGAGTTAGAGAGGTAGAAACAGGTTGTGTTTTTTAGTGTCAATGATGGGGGGGATAAAACTCTTGACCAATGCCTCCCTATGTGTTTACATACAGTGTATAAGGTGTCGCCATTACACTTTTAACCGTGCTGTCAAAGGTATTCATACAATCTCTTACTAGTCTATAAATGGAAGTGAAATATATAAAATTCAAAGCTTAACCACGTAGGGGGAAAGGAAAGTCTGGAAACCCACCAGGCTTATAGCACAAAGGGGGAAAACTTGCATATTCAGAGCTCACCACAGCAAGTCGTTAAGACTTGTTTACAGAAATTGTGAAGAGTTTTACTCCTGATGCCCTTCCTGAGAGAATTGGATTCAAACACAGGTCCCCTGCATTACCGTCAAAAACTTAAACCCATTCACCATGGATACAATAAAAGCATAGGTGTAAATTTAGATGTTGGACAAAAGAGAATTTTCCATTCTCTTTTATTAACAAGACTGTGTCTTACTGCTAAAAACGAAATAGAAGTCAAAGCAGTGTTCCTTTTCATTCTGGTGAAGAGATTGAGGATTAAACGTACCAAACTGTAGTACCACTGGGTCATTTTATTTTAAACCTTGAAGCAGAAGTATCCCAGAGATGTGCTCTGTGTGCAAACTTCAGTGAGTTTAAGTCAGATTATCCCAGCTTTATAATGCTAGAGGTGATCCGAAGAGGTGTCCAGGTGCTTGTTTCCTTCTCCAAACCTTCTGTTTACTTTCTTAATTCTGCCTTTTTTTTTACAATGATAGTTTCTCTTTACATTTTTTTGTTTATTTTCTTGGCCCTGTTCCACAAAGCACATGGGTCTCTAAAGTATGTATGACATTAAGCTAAACAATAATCATAAAAAAATGACTTTTAGAGTGTAGAGCTCCAGTGAATTCAAAGGAAGGCCAATTACAGACTTAAATTAGTTTGCAAATTAAAGAGTCATTATGGGGACGTAATCCTGTCAGGCAGAGCTTAGGATGCCCATACAAAGGGTCCATATTAAACCCCATACAAGTGCAGCTTAATGAAATTATCCCAGTGATGTGTAACACATTGTGATGCTTCATCTATCACTGTGTCTCAAGTGAAAAGTGTTGGGTGGGGGCTGATAGCGTCTCGGTTTGGATTTTAACGGCAGTCTGTACTCTGGTGTTCTCCTTCTCTTTCCCGCTCTCTGTTTAGAGCATCCTCTTTTTTTCTGCTCTCACTGGGGGGGCTGTAGAATGCTCCCTCTGGCCAAGTAATTGACAAATGTTGCTTTGAGACATAATGAAGTTTGAAATGGGAGCTGCAGTTATCATTATCCTCGGACAAGGGCTGTCATTGGCATGATATCACCATCTCTGGCAATAATATTCAGCTAGCAAAGGGAGATGAATTAGATGAAAGACACCGGGGTCCCACATAGTTTTAAAATGGTGTGGAGACTTGAAAGAAAAGAAGTTGAGTATGTATCATGGAACTTATTTTTCAAATTTGTGATTTAAAATGCATGTTTTTTTTTTGTTCTCTTTTTTTAATGGTACCTTTTAAGTACTCGTATGACAAAGTCAAACATGCAATTAGGATACCAATCTGTACTTGGTTGTGTAGAAAAGGTAGTTTAGTACATTTTGGTGTAAGCTGTCTCCGAAGTGCCAGGCAAGGATCTGTAATAAAAAATAGTATTGTATAATATTGGGAGCTGTTTAGGAGAACAAGTTCAGCCAGTTTTTATTGTATAGAAAGTTAGAAATATTTTAAAAAGGTTTTTTCACACATTTCTAAAGTAAACACGATATACTTTTATAGCATCCACATGGAGATTATGAGTGAAAACATTATAATATAATAATTAATATAATGAGTTCCATGTAAATGAGAAATTCTATTATGCAGTAATTATGAGTATCTAATAGAGCTTCACCTTAACAACCTCTATGACCTAAACCAAGAGTCAGCAACATTGATTGCTACAGAATATAGCTTAGGGGAGAAAGATGACCATTTGGGAGGCTCGCTTTTCTTAGGGCAATTCCTTTATTCAATTCCTATATTTTTTTCATTTCTTTTATGTTTTGAACTGTGCGTTAGGTTATTTTTTTTAAACAAATATTTATTAATGTGGGAGGTTTTCTTACTTCCAAGTAAATGTTCAAAAGGTAAGGGGTGATATTAATGTTATTTCTGACATCAGATAATAGGTCTTTAATTAAACAAATATTTATTTTTAATGGAATTTTACACATTTATCTGGCGATAATAGGTAGAATAGGATGATTTTAGAAAGTGATGTAAGTCCTGGTATTAGGGGTATAACTCGTGAGAAATTAAAATTTAATTTACTTCACTTTAATCTATAAATTAAAAAGAGAAAATCCAGTATGAAGTGAATTTCTGTTTCACTATTATTGTAAGCTATTTTGGTTACTTTCAACAGCAACCGTTTAGATTAGTTAGGTAGCGCAAATACCAAAAATGAAACTTTAAACATCTCAAAGATAAGGCAAAACATTGGATAAAATGCTTCTTCCTTCATTTTTTGTTGTTTTGCTGTGATGATAGAGTTATACAAAGCAAAACCTCAGATGATACACATCAGCACAATCCTGTGGGAAGGTGCTACATTGCAAGATGATGTAGAGATCAAAACTGTTGTCATTATTCTGCTCATTGGACCCTGAGTCAGTGTCTTCTGTCAAAGCAGTCTGTAGAGGCGTTCTTTAACATATATGCAGACAAGTTTGGCAGATAATTGTAGAAAATAAGTCTGCACAATCATTTGGAGCAGTATGACCAGATGTCCTGATTTGTGCCTGACAGTTCAATGTTTTTACATGGCTTGACATTTCACAAACTGAAGCAGCGTACCGCATTCTACTGAGTCAAATGATATTTAAAAAAAAGAGAAATATATTAACAGGCGCCTTTCCTACATAAAGAAAGACACAAAGAAAGCAAAGCTGTAGTCATTATCATAGAGCTTATTCAGTGTCCCATGCCATGACCAAGCTGCACACAGTGCTCTTAAAACTTAACAGCTAAAGTATTTTATTAGAAAATAGAATGCAAACTAAGGTTTTTCATCTGTGTGTGTCTTTTACAGTGTTGTTTTACATAGCCTAAATTTATCCCAGTTTTCCCACTTTTGTTTTGTTTAGATTTGGTTACCCTAATTTGAATTTTATAACAAATCTTACCTAACAAGAAATATTCATATATATATATATATATATATATATATATATATATATATATATATATATATATATATATATTTGACAACAAGGTTTGGCCTCTCTTGGTTCCACAATCATTCGGCACATAGATTTTTGGCACCTTCAAAGCTCTGAAACATCTTAGTGTATACTTGTTTCCCGTTTTTAGTATTTAAAGTTATAATTTTATAAAAGGTCTCTTTTCTCTCCATTACTCACTACCAGACTGTCCTTGCGGCATGTGTTAATGTTTCAAGTTGAATGAATATACAAACCTTTATTTTTCTCTGGAAAATTGGAAGCTTTTTCTGAACAAATCATTTTTTTCTTCCTTTTTCTGAACAAATATGGGCCATTGTTGCCTACTTGAGAACAAAAAGGTGCATTTAGTTTGATATTTCAACCAGAGTAATACAGCTAATTGTCTTAAAAATAAATAATCAAGGCCAATGAAATATACAATTGTGAAACACACAATCTATAGTTTGTTTATACCATTTAACTAAACAGCTAGTCCTGTTCTCATGGGTGAAGGTTTGGCAGGAGTAATCTACTTTCAGATCCAATCTTTAATAGAGGCTTATCCTTTATTCAAAATGTTTATAAAACTCAGTGTAAACTTCACTTACAAGGTGTGTGAGAGTTGTTGAAGTAGGGTGACTTTGTTGATGTGAGATAAGAAATATAATTAACTTGATAAAAATCTTCAAAATGGTTTATAACTTCTGCAGGAAAAATAATCAAAAGTCAAAGCAAAAAAAAAAAATCAAAGCTGAGCAACCTGGTATTTCCAACCCTTAGACCTAAGAGCAAAATTCTTGCAGCAGAAATTATTCTGCCTCTGTGCAAATCAAATGGAGTTGGATTAAAAAAAAAAAAAAGTTAGAGGAGCTGAATTGGATTTGGTGGTGTTTTTCATCATTATTTCGCTGAAAGACACATCAAAAATATTTTTATCCAAAATTAGATGACTACCTTTAAACAGAGGTGTCAAGTAACGAAGTACAAATACTTTGTTACTGTACTTAAGTACACTTTTTAGTGTCTGTACTTTCTATTCCTTACATTTTTAACTCAAATGTTACTCATTACTCTTGCTGTCCGTTTAATGTTTATAAATATTTATTTCACGTCATGTGCCCCATCCAATGCAGGTCATTGGCTCCATCCACACCTAGTTAAACACTAGTGTAATTGGATGAGTCATATAACGCAAACACTCATTGGTTAGCTAAAGGAAATCATCAGAAGCAAGCAGGTGTTCTTCAAACTACAAACGAGAATCGTCTATGCCATGCCCCAATGTTGGATTCAGAAAAAGATGTTGAAATGTCTGAAAGTTGGACACAGGCGAGAGCTTATGGGTAGATGGAGACCAACAAGACCTCCCTCATCTGGGGCCCTATCTCAAAGAATTTTTCGAATTGGTTGAAAAATTGAGCTTTCAATTCATATAGTGGCATCTGGCTGTTTTTTTTTTTTTAATGGTTACTTTATACTTTGATACTTTCAGTGTTTTTGGAGCACATTTTTTCTCACTTTTACTTGAGTAAAGAGGTCAAGTTGATACTTCAACTTTTACCAGGGTGTTTTTAAACTGCAGTATCTATACTTCTACTTAAGTAACAAATGTGTGTACTTTTGACACCACTGCCTTTACATCTGAGTATATCCCCACATAAGGGAAGCAGGCTTATAGTAACATAAAACTCTGTGTAAACTTCACTTACAAGGTCTAAGTGAAGTTTACACACTCCACCCTACTACACGGTGGGGATGGTTTGTTTTTATACATGCCCATGTAACCCACCAGAGGTTTTGTTACCATATAGTGTGGTGTTGAGTCTGAACAAAATTCTCAAGCATTTGTTTTTCTTATTCTTATTTTCAGTAACTTCTTGGAACAGTGAAATAATAATCTTTGTTTAACCCTCATATGATATAAATGGGTAAAGAAGAGCCTTGATTTACTAGCACAATAACCATAGTCTGCCTTTTTAAACATATCGGTATATAAACTTAACTTCAGACAACCCCCAACACAGTGTTTAGCTGTAATTTTCAATAAAGGTCTCACTCATAAAGCTCTGTTTATTATCTGCACCTTTAGCAATTACACTTTAAGTTACATTACCAATACATCTATATTATCTTGATCTTAAATTCTTAATTGACATACATAATTTATCTTTTTCAGTAAATGCACTATATTCAGCCAGCAATATCAGGTAACTTTATATAAGATTCTTCTGCAACAGATGCTCTAAAACTATAGATTATAAATCAGAGATAAATCTATTATCTGAACATGCATGTTGACAAAAACTTATTTCTTCATCAGGAACTTACGTGATGCACCTGTCTGCCTTTGATGCTGATGACAACACCACAGCCAATGGAATGGTTCGGTATCGGATCCTGTCCCAGACACCCCATAGCCCGATCCCCAACATGTTCACCATCAACAGTGAGACAGGGGACATAATGACGGTAGCGCCTGGACTGGACAGAGAGGTTTGTCTTACGTGTTTCACACTTCACAAAGACTATTGTGACAGTAGAAAAACAGGTCCTTTCAAATCTGTGAACCCCTTTGGGTTTTGGCATGTCTAAGTGCCCAGGAGATAAGCCATTATTTTCCGTTTAGGATCGCTTTTTTTGTTTGCTCTAACAACACCTTTAAATCTCATTTAGCCATTTGTCAGAACATGTTTCTTTCACACAAATACAAACACCAACCTTTCTGTTTGTTTCTTTTCTTTTACAATAAATTGTCTTCGGTCACCTTATTTATGGAGCTCTAAAAGTTTTGACAAGATCCAAATATGTTTATTCTCGCATTGTGTGCCTGTGACAAGTCTGTAAAGACATCTGCAAAACAGATCATCCTCCCAAACTGTCACTAGTGACAGACCTATTAACAACACATCATGCTGCAGTGGGCTGCTCGTGTTGTGCTGTTCATGCCTGTAAAAGTCCATTATGTGTGTTTGGCTGTGTGGTAGATAGAGAAAGGAAAATCTTTGGATGTAATGCCCTTGACACCTGTCAGACAAACACAAAAGTCTATATAATCACATCTGTGCTCAATAAAACAGTTGAAACAGAGGGAAAAAGGAAAACTGGGTGGGGGCTGAAGCAAAGAAGCAAGTTAGGCAGTGAAAAATAGGGTAACAGAGATGGTGGGGTGCCAAAGGGAAATAGATGCATGAGGGCAACATGGACAAAAATGTACCTAGCTGAGTTGCTGCTGCTTATTTTTATGTTGTATTTGCGAATCCAGGCACTCTTCCTAAAATATCGGATTAAACTCCTGCTAGCCTTTTTTGTACTTCAAAGAAATTGTCATGACATATTTGTTTTGCCTTATACTTTTTTTAAGGTTTAGGCTTAGTTTGACCAGGCTTCAATAAATGTTTTTCTTTTCTCAGAATGTTCATAAATTTGTCTGTATTTTAATTTCAAAGCAATTTTACTCTTTACCATTCCTTTCTCATTTCTTTCCTTTAAAGAAAGATTTGTGAAATGCCTGAAAGAGGATTAGACCTGCTGAAAAGGATCTCCACAGCATCACTAATCTCCCTTTAGTGCATTGAAAAAGTAGTCATACTGTACCTTATATTTATAAATTTTTTTCCACAGTAATGTTAAACTGTAATGGCATAACTTTACTTAACTTCCCCATAGATGTAAAAGGCTTAAAGGTCTTTAGATTCTGTGCTGTGTTGCAGTCAACAGTATTTATGATCTGCTGCATTTTTAGGTGTGTAACTGCAAATTTCCAGTGTTTACCTTGAAAAGCCCTATAGTGTCATTGTTACCTCAAATCAAACCTCTGTTGTGATAATTACAGAAATTACATTTTACGCTGTAATAATGTTGAATCTATAATATAAAACATGTCTAAAAGGTTGGTTTGACTATTAGTAATTAATTAATTCTACCGAGGTTATTGGCTATTATTTAAAAAGTACTTTAATACTAAATACAAAATCAAAGCACCACCTCAATATCATATCATTATTATTCATCGCTAAACACTGCTTACTCTATATCAGTTTTTTTTTTTTTTTTAATGAATAGCTGCCTGGTGAACTCTTTTAATATAGAACCACAATTAAAAGCACTGATTATTAATTTTGTGTTAGCTTGTCTTCACTGAGCAGAGTTATGGTACAGTTTCTTTCAACCGTGGTCCTAAAGGCACACTGCCCTGCATGTCTTGGATGTTTCCTAGGCTTCATAGATTAACAGGCTTTGCTGATCTGCAGTCATTTGAATCAGGTGTGCTGGTGCAGAGAAACATCTTAAACATGCAGGGCAGTGTGCCTTGTGAGGACCAGGGTTGAAAAACCCTGTTATAGTTATAGTATACCAAAATGGTGGTGAGAAATATGGACTCACAAGATGGCAGATGGAAAATGATGTTACATGAAATTAGTGGCTTAGCTAACAACAAATGGTGTATGCGGTACTATTAAAGAGACTTAATTCTGCATAGCACATATATTGTATTCCAGAAAGGAGTTAGGTGAGAAATAAAATTGCGTAGGTTTTCAACAAAACATCCGTTTGGAAAAAAAGGATAAGTTTATAGGGAGTCTGTTTACATTGAGGTCACATCTGAGAGCAAATTCCATGCTTCTGATCTGTTTAAACATACTCTTCGGAAGGCAATACCAAATGCTATTTCCATTTTCTAAAAAGGATTTCCACCAGTTTACCGTTAAGGCTGCATTTAAACAATTCAATAAAGCCAACTGGTTTTTCTTAGATAGAAAACTGAGAATCAATTTGACTTTATGATTTGGTGAACTGCAAAGTGCCTTGAGATGACGTGTTGTGAATTGATGTTATATAAATAAACTAAATTGAATTGACTTAAATAACCATTAGTTAGTGGACCCCCCCCCAAAAAAAAAAAAAAAAAAAAAAAAAAAAAACATCTCTATGAAAAAAAGAGGTAAGAGAGGGGAGGAAAACAGGGTCAGGTCTCTTTGAAGCTATCAATTTAACTGTGATTTACAGTTCAGAATTTTATAAGCTATGTTAACAGTTTCACTCGGTTCAGCATCTTAAGCTATTTTAACAACAACATATTAAACTAAGGATTTAATGGACAGGATATTTCTTTTTGCAATATTGTGGAGATGAAAGAAGAAATTCTAGAAACCTCTTTGATATTGGATTTAAATGTCAGGTCCTGATCCAAAATAACACCAAGATGTCTTACTTTAACATGACTGAAAAATCAGTTTATTTTTCAAAGACTCTGGTCCAAAGATTATAATTTCTGCTTTGCCTACATTCAGGAGCAAAATGAAAGAGTCATCTAGGTCATTATGTCTTCAAGACATTCCTTTAGACAATGTTATACAGTAGGTTAATCAGGATTTATAGACACATATAGTTATGTAGCTAGTTACATTTTATGTTTGAAAATGTCAAAGAATTTGCAAAACTTTTATGTTACTTGAATAAAAGAAAACTAGAGGGTCAAAATGGAATATAAGGTGTTTGTTAGTAATCAATAAATGAAATGATTAATCAATGGTCTAAACATTTGAAAACAATAAAACCTAATCTGAACTATTTTGGTGTGTGTTGTTTCACAAGTGAGTTACAATATAATAATGTGGCCATGATTATGTTTCTTGTTAATAGTAAAAGAAGAATAAGATGTTCTAGAACTTTATATGTTTGTACATTGACAGCCTTCAATGGTCTATAACATAAATACGAAGCTGAAAAATAATGCTTTTTAATCAATTTAACAAAAATAACAGGGGCTGCACTATTCCAGAAGAAAAAAACATAGCAGGTCCATATGTTCCCAGTATTTTACATGAATAAATCTAAACTATCTAAGTAAAATCATTATAGCCCACAGAAAATAGAGAGCGTGTGTTAATTGAAAGCAATAGCTGCCAGTCCTTTTTAAGATGTTATGAGAGCTTCTTTAATAATGTCAGTTGGAAGCTGTGATCTTAAGTCTTTGTTCCTGAATATAATGAGTAAATCAAATAAATATTTAGCCTTCAGTAGTGCTTTTTCTGTAGAAATGCTGCCATCCAATCAGTTGCTCTGCACCACCATCTCTCCTCTGTGTTCATTACATTCTGAAGTTGTTACAGTAGCGTTGCTGTTACATTCTCTTACACGTGGAATTTGCTATCATGTCTGCTTACATCATAAAATTGTGGACCTTATTTATACACATTAGGTAACAAATAAAAAATCTGTTTAAAGCATAGTGACTAACATGTTACATAATTAGTTACTTTGTTAGTTACTTCAAAAGTAACATAGTTATTGTAAGGCGTTACTTGATGATGCATTAGTTCGAGCACCGTCAGTATGTAACATGGAGAGAAACCAATGGCACTCAGTTCTGTATTATTTATATCTTGTCTTCCATGGCAGTTTATTTAATATTACAGCCAAACCTGCCTATTTGGATGTACCATGGAAGTGAATGATTTGATTTCCTCATTGGTTTCACTAAAACCTTTTCCTCAGAGTGCATTGGATTTGTTTTTTGTTTTTTTTTTTTACAGAGCAAATCAATCTGAATTTTTGTTTCTACAATACAATACAATATTTCCATTCTTTTGACAGTTTCTCTTAGGCCCCTTACATGAGCTGAAGGTGAGTCCCTGGGATATCTTAAATTGCCCTTTACATAATGACATGGAACAGTCCTCCCTACCATCCAAAAAATGAAAAAAGAAAACTCTACATAAACTATCCCTAATTCTATGCAGTGAAAAACACCAAATTGGAGCACAAATCAGAAACTTTAGCTGTAATAAATGCAGCATAGGTTTAAGAAAAAATTATTTAAAAAAGCAGTGAGAGTAATTGTAATTTCAGAAGGAAGATGAGGCTTCGATCAGCTTACCAGTGATCGCTGCCGCATGGCCTCTGTAAAGGTCACCTTTCTATGCGATTTGGCTTTCATAATTTTACTGTAGGCCACAGTTCCTCTCTTGCTTGTCAGTCTTCCTTTAATAAAATCTCGATCAAAACAGAGACCTTCATCTTTGCAGCCGCTGACTCCTTAGTTACTTTCCAGACTGCGTCTAGATGGCACCTCCTTGTGAACTGTAGGATGACCTGACAGGATTCTTTTTTCCCCTCTCAGTGGATCGTGTCGATCACATTTTCTGACTTGTCTGCCCATTGCGGTAAGATCCTTGAAAGAAGCTGTTCTGCCTTCTCTCTGACATTTTCTTCCTCACTGTCCTTACGGCTCCATCAACACGTGTACCTATCAGTCTCCAGAAGTTTATCTTTCAGAGCTGCATCTTCTTTATTCAGTGTAACAAGCTTCTGCTCAAGGTTTTACCATAGTGGATTTACATTCAGCGATACCAAGAGAGCTCTGCTCCACTCATCATGTAGCCTAATGCCGGTGAACTTTTCAGAGTTTTTTTTTCAGCTATTTTGCAAAGTTATTAACCCTGTTCTCCAGATTTTGTATAGCAGCTAAGATGGCAGCTAAATAGGCCTCCCTCTCAGCTTTTACTGAGTTACATTCGGTTGTCATCTTGTATTGGCAGCATTTTCTCCATCTTTATTGGTGTTTCAGTGCAAGCAGAGATATACTTACGAACATTAAACCTTGCAGCATAAGCATAAACACTGTGTGAGAAATTTTTTTGAAATCGATCATACATTTATTTCTTCCTTACTTTAGAACATGGATGTTCAGGTCTTCCTTCAAGGTGACACAGAGTGCCAAGAGCTGGCCTCATAGGTAGGGGGAAGGCCTAGTGCTTAGAGCAGTGGACTTGTGCTCTGAGAAGGTTGCAAGTAGCCGGTTCGATCCCCACAGCCTGCACTCTGGGTCCCTGAGCAAGACCCTTAACCTCACATTGCTCCTTGGGCGCCTCAAAGTGGCAGCCCACTGCTCACCAAGTGGGTTAAATGCAGAGGTGGATTTCTCTAGTGTGAGATGAATAAAGTTCAGCTATTATTATTATTATTATTATTATTATTATTAAGCATTAGTTAGGGGCTGCAAGAATGGAGCTCAGAAGGAAAAGTGTGCCCACATCGCAACTTTGCCAGAAGTTCATCAAACAGTTTAATAAAGTTGGGAATGTGTTCCGACAACAGTAGTCATTTACTTCGAAATTATGAGTAATGTTAAATTTGGAACTACCTTTGAACTAAGTTAGGGTTACCCTTGCTGTTAATATCTAGGAAAAGTAGGCTTGAGTGATCACACATTTATAGTTAAACAGAGGCATTTAAACTTACAATCAGTTTGCATCTACTGTTAAACATTTTTTCTTTTAGTGTCCGACATTGTGTTTGCAAGCTTCTCGGAATTCAACTCTTAAAGAGAGATTGAAGAGTGATTAGTCCTATGCTTCCACTGTTGTTAGCCACAATCAGGAAGAAAATAGCAATCTCTCAAGAAGCGGTATTTCCTGAAAAGTAGCCAATCACAGACAGTATGGTTGATTATACCCTCAAACTAAGAAAAGTTGACACAAGTGCACAGAAACAGATCCACACACACGTTGGAGAAAAGCTAGAGTGCATGAAAAGCAAGCCAGACACTGATAAGGAGCATTTAATCATGCGTGATATGTTGGGTGGAATCTGGTATTAAATCTGCATGCATAAAATTGCACAAGAGAGTAGTCTATATATTTTTATATGACTGTGTTTTAAGTACAACTGCTCGTATAAATGTTTATCATTTGTGGTCTGTTTTGACAGAATTCTGACTTCATAACTTGGTCCTCAACCCAGCTGTCCCAGATTTGGGTCCTGGGATATGGACCTTTAGGAATATGTACATTCCAACAATATTCTAGTTTCTCTTACTGTTCATAGAAACCAACTAAGATGCATGATACATTGCAGTAAAGAGAAGAATCTTCCCAAGCATCTCTGTATAAAAAAAAAACATCAGAATACATTTTGATGCATCTCTTTAGATTTTGCCAGCATTTTAACATGTTAGAGCATTGACAGTTTATTCTGATATGTCAAAAGCATCAGGTGTCTCCGTAAGAAATTAATTAATAACCTTTTTTTTTATCACATTTTACACCTTTCTTGAAAACATTAAGTCATTTTCTCTTCTCTCCTTTTAAGGGGTGTGCTTTCTCTTTTTTTAACTGCTCATCTAAAGATTTCCGCTGGTCTTCAGTAGACTTCTAAAGAGCTTGTTGACAGCAACAGACCTAAGCACTTCAGTGAAACTGGGTGTGCTGTGGTATTGTTGCAATCATAAGAGGTTCGGAAAAGCTTGGCATAATTACTCCGTTGTCTAATTAGTGAGTGTTGTGTACATGCCATACAGAGGATGATGGGACAGCTAGGAAAATACAAGATCTGTGGGAAGCGAGGCACCAATGTCTGCTTGTGTGTAAACGTTAGTGTTAATGAGTCTGTGCACAAGGTTGGAGTTCAGCATCTTATTTAGCATCAAGATGAGAGGAACCGAGAGGAGCTGTCTAATCCTCCTGATGTGCCGTCCTGGTCTAATTGGGATATTTACTCGGTAATTAGCAGGTGAGAGAGAGAGACAGTGGGAATGTAATTTGGAATCTCACTGACAAGACACATTATCCAGACAGTCAGCTCCTGGGCTCCATCCTTCCTGCAGCCCATTAACTGCACCCTGGGACAGAAGAAGAGGAAAAGAACCCTGCAATAAGGAGGATGGAAGAAAGGGTTGGAGGGATAAAATGAACACAAATGCCTTTGAGCACAGGAGTATAAATGATAAGAAAAAATCCCATCCCACTAAAGTGACATGGTGTCATTTTTGGAGGGAGGAAGTAGCATTTATTATTCCCTCATATTATTATTTCACAGATAGTCTATTAATCTCTGTCAGGTGGATCATTGTCTTCAGATCCGTCGATCTGTGGTACTGAAAAAGCAGCACGCCTGACAACTTTGATGGCATGCTGTACCCGTGGAGAGGCATCGTAGCGTACCCTCTTAGTGATTTGTTTTCAGACCAGGTTCCACCAAGGACAATTCAGCTCAGTCAAATGAAAGACCTTATGATTCTGTTTTTCCAAACAAAACCATGGACCACCACCATAGCAGAGAAAAACAGCCTTTGTGTTCCCCTGGGAGCCACAGTCTGTGGTTGCCACTGCGAGATCACAGGAGAAAAAGATAACTTCAGTTGCATAACTGCATATTATCCCCCCCACCCCAACCCACCTTTTATCTTTTATTTTTCAGAAAGTGTCACAGTACACCATCATCGTGGAAGCCAGGGATATGGAAGGAAATCTCAACTTTGGCCTTTCCAACACAGCCACAGCTATCATCACTGTCACAGACATCAATGACAACCCTCCCATGCTGACCTCAAGAACCGTAAGTTATTACAAATATGTGGAGAAGGTAACAGTTCAGAAGAAGGGGGTGTGAGTTGAAAGAAGTTTGTGAAAATGAGCAGTAAGATAGAGGGAGAAAACTAGGATGAGGAAGATTTGGCTATAGAGGAAATTATGAGCAGAATGCAAGGAAAGGTGGTAGTCAAAACAGAAGAAAAAAAATATATTTGATTTTACTTCAGTTGTGTTGATAAGTTAATGTTTAACACTTAAAGGTGATTTCAGGTCATCTTACATATAAAGAAACCTTTTTCCCTTTGTATCAGAACAGCAACACCTTTAACAACTATTACAGCAATGCGGTGTAGGTGTAAAATTTGATTTCGGCTTTCATATACTGCGAGTACTTTACTGTTCTCCTGTAAAGGACACATACACACTAGAAACACCGATCAATACTATTGAATTTCTTCTCCAAGAATACATGATCCTGCAAATGGTTAATGATGTTGGCATCATAGGGATATTTAGAATGATGATTACATTACACTGGGTCATTACTCGGAGCAGAGTAAAAATTAAGTCCAATGTAATGCATTTTATGTATTTCAAATCAATATGGAGGCACAACATCTCGCTTTTGCCTTAGACTTACATGAAGTTTGTGTCTTGTATAGTAATTACAAATTGTGGTAAGTTTCTTACACTTAGAGTGTCACAGAATAAGACATTTTGGAAATAGCCAAATAACTTTAGACATAAACTATCCAAACATTGCAAAACCATTAATACTTGTATTGTACATAATTGTACTTTGCTCCAACTAATGTATTTTATTTTATTTAGATTTTACATGAGGAAAATCATAATTGAATGGATGTATGTAAAGTTTTTTTGTGTTTTTTAGTCATTTTCTTTCCACATACGTTAAAAGGTCTTGTCTTCATATGGGTCATCATTCCAACTGTAAAATTTGGTTATGGCAGCAGCATACTGTGGGGATACTGAGGTAGGGTCACAATAACATAATTAAAATATATAGAGAAATCAATAAATGCTAAAAACTTAGTATAGAAATGTATGCACCAAAGTGTATTTAACCAAACAAAGGCAGTGATAAATTATACAATAAGTCAAATTTATATATTTTTTTAATTCTTCCTTTGTATTTTTTTAGTCTATATGGATCTTCTTTTTTATACCCCTCGCTTCTTTTGGGTCACTGTTGAGCTCAAAATGTAAAAGCAAATAGAGTCTTTGTAACAGTGTCCCCTCCTTTGCTTCTTGGCTATTGGTCAAAGTTAAGACTGACCTCATAGGATGACCTGACAGGATTCATTTTTCACATTTTGCCGCTGAGCGTACTTTGCTGCATCTGCTGTAAATTTAAATTTTCAGAAAAATGTGTGTAAGCCTTGCTGCTTACTTTGCATTCTGTAAATAAATATTCTGTATTTACAACTTAAAAGGTTTTGATCTAGAGATTTTAAAGATCTACTGGGATAAGTGGGTATAAAAGCCTCCCTTAGATGGCATTGAAAAACTAAAAACATAAACTTAAAAACTTTTTAAGAAACAGGCAGTGAGTGAAGGATATACCAAAGTGGGGTAATAATTGAACTTCATTGATCTAACATTGGAAAAATGTGACTCTGCATGTAACCCATCCCCTTAGGGAGCAGTGGTCTGCCATTCTGCGGCGCCTGGGAAGTAGTGTGGGGTTAAAGTCTGTGTCTGTGGGAAGGGTCTCGAACTCAGAAGCTCAGGATTCCAAGCTCTATGCCCCAACCACTAGGCCACCACTTACCAATAATAATGTGTTAATGTAACATGTCCTCCGTTAGCTGATACTGTAGGTAGCTGAATTCTGTACCAACAGTAGATGGCAAAGAAGAGGCTGCTCAATCCCATTATAGAGGGAGTTGCAGTAGTCCAATGTAAAGATAATAAATCATGTTGTGCAATTACAATTGTATGCATTTATGTTATTAATTATTAAATTAAGAACTTTCTGTCGGCCATGTGACGTTCTTTGAACACATGCCTGTAAACGGCTGAGTTGCTGTAAACATAGGCTATGTTTACACAAGTGACCCAAATCTGATTATTTTACCCATATGCGACCTGTATCTGGTCTTTTCATGGCAGTCTGAACAACACAGATCCGATTTTTTCCAATCCGACCCAGGCCACTTGGCTATGTGGTCCTGAATCTGATATGAATCTGATCTTTTCAAATGCGACCTGTGTGTGAAAAATCAGGCCGCATTCATCCGACCTGAAAGCCATTAGTAACCGACAAAGGTCAATATTCTGCTTCTTGCTACAGAGAAGCAGCAAGAAAAACAACAACCATGGCAGACTATGATGTTGAGAGCCGTATTTATGTTAAACCATCTTGAAAAGATTGAGGCTTTGAGGTTTGGAAAAACGCTAGATGCGCTCCAGCGCTACCATCCATGTTAACTTCCATAAATACGCTGGCTTGAGATGTCACTGCGTCCTTTGCGTGCAGGACAAGCAAGTTGTATGAATGCAGTTCATACTGTACAGGAGATCACGTACAAGTCGCATATATTTGGAAATGTGAACGGCAACGCAGAAAAGTCGGATTTCACAAAAGAAAAATCAGATTTGAGCATCAAGGCCTGCAGTGTGAACGTGGCCTAAGTGACCCTGTGGTTCTGCTTTGTTTAGTTTCTGCTGGACCTCTAAGCCTAGGTTCTATCGTAAAACACAAAGAGAGACATAATCAGGTAGCTTGGTGCTTTTTGGTTTTTGGAAGCAGGCAGTATTTTACCTTTGATCAAAATTTGAAGAATATGTGTGACTAATGTGTGCAGGGACAGATATTCAGATGTTCTGTCCCATTTGTCCCTACTCTAGATCCATTGGCAAAGAGAGAGTTATTAAGGTGAACAGGACTTTTTAAAGCAGGCTCCATAGGAGTCCAGGATATCCTTGAAAGCTCCGTCCTCTGGTAGTGGGTAGCATAGAGGTCACAGTTTACACTCTGGAAAGCAATCCTGTGTCTTTTATCTCATGTCTGTGTTGCCCAATAATGAGGCAAATAATATTTAACTTTGCTCATAGTCCTCAGAGGTTAAAAGCTGGACTTATAAATATAGCGCTCTTGCATTTGAAAAAAAAAACCTACTGCTAAAAAAAAGAAAAAAATACCAATATGGTGAGCAATCTAATTAGATAAAGGTTGTATCAAATTTGCTCTTCTCACGAAGCTGTTGGACCACTTTATGTTTAAATGCAGCCTAAACAGAACCTTAAGAAAGTACAAGGACCTATAGCATTATAAACCATGTTCTACATATCCAGATTAGTTGGGGGACACAGGAGGTATAGTTGGGTCATAGGAAACACTGGAAATGTAAAACCTGACAGCACCAACTATCATTAAAAAATAAAAATAGAGACTTTCACAGTAAAACTGAAGGACAGGGAAAGTAAGGATCAGGATTCAAAAGACAGTTCAAAAGAATTTAAGGCATGCTGATGTCTAAAGATACCAAATTGCAAATAAGCAAAAAATCTTCTAACAGCAGCCTGATACTTAGTGAAGCAGTGTTTGAACGTCCACATGAAAAAATGAAGACATAATGATATTAAAGGAAAGCATTGGGCTGTTGGTTAGGCAGAAAACTATTTTGGCTTAAAACTCTTGAAGAGGACAATATAGGATTAAAATAGGATGAAACTTTGGATCTACAGAGTGCTCTTTGCCCTGGAACTCCAGGACCAAATATGGAGGCTTTGTCAGCAGTATGTTCAGTCCATTCAGTTTGTTATAAAGCAGTTAACTTCAGCATTTGCACTGGGTGCTTTTAGAACCTTATCATGATGCGCTACAGAAATATAAAGGGAGTGTACAAACAGAGCAAAACATAAGAAAAAAGGTCATTGCAAAAAGAGTTCAAGTCAGAGACTAATGAGCAGGCCACCTTGACACCAGGAAAGAAAAAAAAGTAGAGAAAATGACAGATAGATGAGAAAGAATGAGGGAGTACTTATTCACTTGTGCAATTTTCTACAGTAGCAGTGATAAAATATAAACGTGCCTTGGTGTATATCAGAGGCCTTTCCTGGCTCCTATTCGGCATTAACATTCCTTACCGATGGTGGTATATTGATGATGGAGGGCCATAACAGATTGATATCCTCTAACTAGATTCCACCTAGTTTAAGTGCATTTCCATCAGCGTCACACGAGGAAGTTAATATTATCAAGAATATTGATGATAAACTTTAGTGGAGGTTCAGGATTAGAAATGAGGAAAGCACTTTCACCCACTTCCCCTCATAAATCATCTATTTTAGTAGGGGGAGATAACATAAAAAGCCATTTTGTTGAGATTGCAGGCCATTATGCAAATATTTTGTTTTAGCAATAAACCCCATAGATCTTTCAACGTGTCCCAGAAATATAAAGTTTGGGGAATTTGTCTTTAATGCCAATGATTAATATTTCATCATCCCTATCAGATGGTGGCCTATTTTTTTTAAACAGGCATGGGGGTTTGTGTGTGTGTGTGCAGACGCAAGGCCTTTAGGTGTTTATTGGATATTTTCTCTAATGCATATAGATGTGATAAAATGAACACAAAATGAACCATTCTGCTTGGTTTGATTTGTCTGTGCAAGATTGACCGTGCAGCTTTCTTGGCTTCTTGTGAAGCTCACTTGTCACTTTGCTACTCTCTTTCTTCCTCCCTTTCTCCGTCATAGCCTTTCTTCACTGCCAAAGCAGTGACAGAAGAATAAGGGTTCTGGCATGAGGTATTATGTCAAGCATTGACAGAAAGCCAGCTATACCCATTGCCAATCCAAGATCCACCCCTCCACCATAAAATCCAACACTTAAGAGCCGAGAGACATTATCACAGACAGGAAAAAAGCCTGATTAAATGTTTGTGTCTCTGCTTTAGTTTTACAAGAGTTTTGTTTTGAAACAACCACAGAAAACCATACCCTAGCAGGACCATAGTAGCTAATAAAAATGAGAATGAAACGTTTCAGTTATAAAGCACTACAACTGACACTTATTTGCACCACTGCAGAAGAGAGAAAGAAAGCTTTAAGATTTATAAAGAATTATACATACATATTTTGCACAGTAAAAATGTATTCTTTATAATCAAGCATTTTTTTGTGTATTTTTTTTCCTAGTTGTTGGCATACCTATCAATCAAAGTAAAAAAAAAAAAAAACAATGTGTCTTTAAGCTTATAAGTAGTTGTGCATTGCTGATTATTTATTTATAGTGATTGCAGATTATAAAAAGGGCAGTACAAGCTACAAATATCAACAGATGTGAGATATATAAGCTCACTTTTAAATTATGGCAGCAAAAAATTGTTGTCTTGGGGTCACAGTTTTAACAGGAACCATTAGAGCCTTTACCAGGTGAACAACATTCTTTAGAAAGCATGCCTGTCTTGTCCTAAAAACAAAGCCTAAATGTGTGGATCTCATCTTAGTTTTTATATTTTTTTTTTCTCTTGTCATCTTATTTGACTTCATCAAACTGTGCAGCAGAAAAAAGATGAATCACACCCAAATTATGTCAGAATACAGAATTGGAACACACTATTGGCAACACATATACTTTAAAGATAGGACAGGACTTGGTTTTCAGAAAATCATCCTTCCTTTTCTAATTTTAAAATAAGATCAAGTCTTTTTTGGTAGAAAACAGTGGTACAGCAGAAGCAAATGCATTGCAAGTAGCAACATTGACACAAATATATTTGCGCATGAGAAGGTTTGTCTTGTTGTTTTACACACAATAACAATCCTAATAAACACACTACCTTTCTTCTTATACTCTAACCTTGTCATATACTGTAGGCTAAGGGACACGACTGTGCTTAAAAAGTAATTTGTGTAAAGGTTGAATATCTGGATGTAAGTTTAAGTTCCTATTCTACATTTGGAAAGTTGAAAGATAATAAAAACAGACCGGTTATTTTTTGAGGAATGAAAAAATACAATTCTGTGAAAAACACATTTGCTGACACAGGATCCTGAGTCTCATCCTCAATATTACAATATGCAACAAAATATTTTCCACAAATTACTTCTATCTTAATCATGTAGTGTGATTAAATTGAATGAAAGATCTAATGGCACAAATGATAAAGATAGCTAATTGTTTGATTCTTTTTTGTTTTGAATCCTGCTTCTGTTTAAAGCTGAAATAATATGTTGTATGCGTACTTCAAAAAGTGTTAACAACATTTCACATTACTTGTTTAAACAAGATTTAATGAGACACTAAATACAATCCCATTCATTTCCCCCAAATAATAATAATAATAATAATACCAACACTTTTAACTGCAGTGTTGCTAGTCAGAAATGTAGTGAATCATTTAAAGGCTTCAGTCAGTCTTGCCCTTAGCTGTTACTGTGTGCTATAAACAAGATCTTGGAGGGTTCCTACGGGAATCTCAGAGCTTCCTCTGAAGTTTCCCTTGTTGTATTGGTATCAGGGAGTCCTTGAACCAAACCACAGCAATAAATCGCAGAAGCTCACACAAACAAATGTTCAGACAATAGCATATGACAGCCTGCCTATTTACTCAAGGCAGACAGTCCATCAAGACCACCCAGACTTGTCTGTTGTCTTAAGAATGTCACTGAGTATCTGAATCGCTCTCCTGACGCAGCTATCTAATCTGCCCGCTGCTGTCGGCTATTTGGTGGTTGATGCGAGCATGGCCAGGCAGGGTATTATGGTCTGTTGGAGTGTTTGGTCTGTGGCTTTGCTCTTTGATATCCTTCAGCCACATAAGCGGCTCAGCAGCTCATCCATGCCTGTTACCCGCAGTGACACGGTGACTGTGTGGTGCTACATGCCTGTTATCTCCAGAACAGTTGAAAACACACCATGACCTCATGTCTCTGGACTTGTCGAGTTGTTTACGTAGGTGTGGCTGCAGTCAGCTTTAGTTTTTCAGGCTTCTTGTAGAGTCAGTGTCATTTATCCCCTGAGCTTGTTCAAAACAAACAAGATTCCCTTCCATAACAGGCACATGACAGACAGCGGCTTGGTCCGCGTCAGGCTTATCAGGACTAAGCACATGTGCTAATAAAGCATGGGTCCAACCAAAAACTTCTTAGATCAACTCAAACAGATGTTTCAAGCTTATACACTGATAGCTTTTTTCGTCTGCAAACATTTCTCCTTCTTGTCATTCTGGATTTCAAAGGAATTAGACATTACTGTTCATCAAAGAATACAGAAGACATTGAAAGTAAAACAATGGTGTTTGCATCTGCTTGATAAGCTGTGTTTTCTCCATGCTTACCATTCGACTTTCGGTGCAAGTGAGATAATTCCTTGGAGGAAAAACTTTAAAGGATTCTCTTTTATAAAGGAGCTCAATTGATCTAAACAGAACGGAAGGCTAGTAAAAGTAACTTCATTTTAGAAGGATGTTGCTAAACATTTTACTCTGCTTTTTTCAGTTCTCAGGTGAGGTCACAGAAAACACAGTGAATGTGGTGGTGGCAAATCTGACTGTTCTAGATGGCGACCAGCCTCACTCACCTAACTGGAACGCCGTGTACAGGATCATCAGCGGGGACCCAATAGGGCACTTCACTATTCGCACAGACCCTGTTAGCAATGACGGCCTCGTCTCTGTGGTGAAGGTAATGGACTATCCTTTGATCTCATATTTCATTATTTTGGCTATACTGAGTTTATTATAATGTCACTGTATGATTTTAGACTGCATTATTAACTCACTTGATCAAGAATTACAGATGGATAGTAGCTTAAGCTATCAGATTAATCACGATTAATTGATTATTTAAACAATCTTCAACTAATTTAGTAATAGATTATTGGTTAAAAGGAGTATAGAGACTCTTTAACATGCCTTTAGGTCACTTGGAGCAGTAATTATACCAAGACTGTCAAAAAATATGTAATACATTTTGGATTTAAGATAAAAAACGTTTTCTTTTGTTAATATGCTCTATCCAGAATTCCTCAAGTAAAAAAGTTTTTCTTTCATCTGGTGTGATTTCTTAAAAATTATTCTTTAAAGAACCTTTGACCATCTGATTATTATTTGACAGATTAATCCCAAAAAATAATTAACAGATTAATCGATTATGACAATAATTGTTAGTTGCAGTCCTAATGAAAACCGTCTTTTTTTTTTTTTACAGTACGTTTTTGTACAATGTTCCTGTTAAATAAACTAAAGTATGATCTCTTGTTCTCTGTTTAATATGAGATCCCATCTGGACTTTGGTCTGAGCTAATATAATAGGCAACAGAGTTAAATGAGGTAAGGCTGAGGTCTTTGCCTTTCACATGCCCCTTTGTGTCCAAAAGAAGGATTGGAGGCTAACGAGGTCTTCAGAAAAAGCTCATGAACTCAAACATAGACTTAAATATGGTAGCCGGTGAGACGGCTGCAGCAAATTAGTTATTGATTTCTCAATTACAATAGCAACGGTTTATACACTGTTAATGTTCTTGCTGCTGTGGTAAAAGACAGTAACAACAAAGCCATGTCTTGTTACAACTTGCTATGTTAGTGGCTAGAGCACTCAGATAAATGTTGACCCCATATTAAAAGGACCTTGGCTATATTCCTTCAAGCTTTGTTTAAACCCCTTGTTTTCATTTTTGAAGAATAAAAAAAAGAAGCTGTGTCTAATTGGTTGGTTACCTTTTAATTTAAGACCTTTCAAAACCTTTATTGCATTAGCACAGGTTTGAAATGTAAAGTGTTTCTACACTGAAAAGTTATTCTTTAAAGAAGAAATTTCACAAGAGCAAACAAACCAACTTTAGCCTGAAGTTAACGGGACCTTACCTTTGTATAGGGATCACTGCAGAGAGTTTTAAGGTGCTGCTGTGGTATTATTCCTCCTCACTTACATATGTTCAACATATTAACAACATCTGATTTTCTTCCTATGAAAATATTTAAAGTACTTCCA